TTCGAAAGTTGATGCCATGATATTTTGTAAACTTCTGCATAACAACAAAATTCACTTCCTTCAAATTGTAGGAAAGCAAACGTGGCAGAGACCGGCTTAAAGTTAACAGTAATTACTATTTAATACCGTAAATCTGAAATTGCCAAATTTCTAGCATAAACTGAAAATCGGCTCAAAATCTACACTTTTGAATATCGAAACAAAATATTCAAGATGCCCAACCAGTAAACGGATGAAACAGCTAAACGAACTGACCATGATCCGAGAGTATGACCACGTTCACGCAATGAAGTAGACCATGATGAAGTAGGGATGACATGAGCTGTCCAATAAGTCCATCCACTGCGGACACCTGGTTGTTAACCTACATGGAAAAATTGAGCCTGAAGGAAAAACAACCTTTGTACCTCTTTGGCGTGAGGGCCGTACAGATGACCAGCCCCATCAGGTATGCTGAAATAGGCCATAATGATCGACGGCCGCTGTGAGTCTGGCAAAAGCAGCCAATCAACGACCTGCTTGATTTGAGATTCAGGACTTTTCTTTCCACTGTAATACGTAGGTTGCATGCCTGTACAGAAGTCGTTAGTCTCAACGTGGTTGTCGACTAATGTCGTTGACGTACCCTGAACGGCCACGCCGGAACCAAACCAGTAGATCGTCGCCGACTTAAGGCCATTTTTGATCGCCGTGTTCCATATCTACAGAGAACATATCGTCGAACAAGCACCAGCATGTGTGATTTACAGGTTCTCCGTGAAACCATAGGTCACTGACGTTGGTTTTCTGGTTAAACCAGCGAGTTTTCGGATCCGAGTGACTTGGGTCGTACATCTTATTGTCAACGATGCCGTGCGACTCCGGATACAGGCCCTTGAAGTAAGCGCGTCAGTCAAGGATTTGAGTGCCGGTGACGACCACGTCCTACCGTCGCAATCGTGTAATGGTTGGGAAAGGTTTTAGACGGGTATGACGGATACATGTACTCCGCCGAAGAGCCGCAGCGTTTGATGATATCCAAGTTCTTGGTCTTGCCTCGCTGTAGGTAGCTGACCCGAAAGCCGTCGAACGACAGCACGATGAGTGGTGGCGGCTTCAACCTATGAGTATGAAGTTTGTATTCAAAAGACAACGATGCCTCACCTTGCCTCCTCGAACACAACCCCTCACAACAAACGGCGTCCTCCCATTTTTTCCCTGTCCCATTGCAGTTCTCATATCCATACGCAAACACAGCCAATACAACGGTCAGCAGGAATAATGAGACCGTGAACATGACGACGGCTTTTAGGTGAAAGTTTCTTCTATGACACGAGAAAAATTTCAGCCACGATTAGTCGTCTGCAGTGAGCAGTTTCCGGAAGTTCACTACCTAAAATTGGTAAAAGATTGAAGAAATAATCTTCTCGTCTTCGGTCAGAAAGATTAACAGTATGACTTAAGAAACACGTGACTGACATATTTACAGCAGACTGTCGACAGTTATAGTAAAACTTTGAATCTTTGTCATTGAGAGAAAGCCTATTTTGGAAGTTGGCAGCACAGCGAAGCATATGTCCATTAGTAAAGGTCATCAGCAGAAACAAAGCTCTACAGGAAGAAGAAATGGATACCAGTTTCTTCTTATATAAATACCTCGCTTTACCGAGAAACCTTTAAACCATCAGCCATGGAAACAAGTGGTAACCGACTTGAACAAATTTTTTTCACATTATTATGGCAAATCATCTTGCGATATGAAAATATTACCCAAAATGTAGAGGTAGATGGGAACTTCCGCGAGATAGAGGCGTTTATTTTTCGACATTTGATGAATTTAGACATCAACATTGTTTTACTCTTTACTGCCGTTGTTGTTTTGTCCTCACCTCGTGAGGCTAGCAGAGCTTGAACATCAGAAAAGACCGAATTACTTATGTGTGACCGTTATAAATGATGATTGCAAACGATATTAGTGAACATTCAATGCCGCGGCGGACGTTGTATTATTTTTCAAAGACTGAGCAACCTCAACTATGTTTATTCATGTTTTTTATTGCCATTGCCATCTAATGCGATTACAGCCACTCAATCGAAAAAGGTTAAGGAAATATATCCATTCCGTTTTCTAAGCCGTTTAGTCAAACGAAGTCAGGCGCCGGTCTCTGAGTTCAGACCGGTTGTTGTCAGCAGTCAGCATTTCCCTCAAAGCTGCTCTTCCACGATCCGGCGGAACCATCATACTTTGAGCACATTGTGCACACAGCGTTGTTTCATGCTCTCTAAACGAGGTTTACCATCTTTAGGGCGACAGATGTTTCGAGGCTGTTCATTAAAGCCTCGAATACGCTTCTTTCGGGATGGTGATCTAAATCTTTCGTATCTATTCTTATAGTTTGATCCTTCCGTATTTCCTACGGCTGATCGAATTTTGCTGATGTCTAACCGGTGCCTCGGTTCACTTCAGAATCAATGCGTCGTGGTGCGCCAAAAAAGCATAAACGCTAAACAGTTCATAACATTCCTTAAACATAACACAATATTAACAAATGACCAAAATTGGTCCAACGTTGCATTAAACCATTGTTACACCTTTTTTCTGAGAAGTTGGTTATGCAGACAGACAGACAAACAAGGGAATCAGACAGACAAAAGGAATCATTTTTTGCGCAACACAACGGGAGCTTTCATACTGATTGTTGAGTGTGCAACGTTGAGAAGGTACATTCAAGAACAGACGAGTTTTTACTGGTTTTAACTCGTCTGAAAGAACAATGAGGAGAGTGGTACGAAGTGCGCACATGTCTGTTTAGCGCTGCATGCCAGCTCGAACCGCATGGTTGAATGATAACAAGTCGGGCTACAAAATACGAAGCATATCATGGTTAGAAGATTATTTGCTTCATCCATATTCAGTCCATCACGTTCTACGGTTTCCTGAAACTAACATCGAACTAATGATCTACTTTAGTATTTCTTATACTCCTGCTTTGTTACTGAGGAAAGAATTCAGATATTCTGATTCAAACATCACGTCAATAACAGGTACACATTTAGAGTAAGGAAGTTTATCAATTGTTTCTAATGACAACAACTTCGTGTATCACAGAACGCCATTATTTAATTAATTAACTAGTTAATTTATTCAAATATCCATGAATTGACTGTTGAATTCATCCGTTCAGTCGCTAGTTCATTCATGTTTAAGTGATTCATTCACTCATTCGTTCATTCTTTCTTTTGTTGGTTTATTCATTGCTTTGTCAATTCATTCATCCATCTATTCTTTCATATATTTACCTATTTATGCATTCATTAATTTACTCCTTTCTTCGATAGATTTATTTGTTACTACATGTCATCTGCTCGTTCGCTCATTTGTTTACTAATCCATTTATTCATTCATTCATGAGTCCTGCGTTGAATATATCCATTTATTCCTCCATTCATTAATTCATTCATTTGTTTCATCCATTAGTTTACTGATCAGTTCATTCATTCATTTTCTCATACATTCCCTTGCACATTCATCTATTTGGTTACTTGACCGTTAGCGCAGTCTGCAAAGTTAATACGATATTTAAGATAAATGATCGCATTTCCAACTCAGAGGTTGCCGGTCCAAAACCGGATGGGAAATTATGAGGGTTGGAAACCATGGCGAAGTCTCCGTATCACTTGGCCATATTCTCCTCATGGTAATGCGTCATCGAACATTATACCAGCTCGATTGTTGCCCGAGTTACCGATGGCCAGCAGACTGCTGGGGGCTGTTGAAGCATACTTCGACAAGTCGACGATCAAAAACTGTTTTATGCCTTCTGGCAGACATGCGGGGGGGAGCGTATCACCACCACCTGGCATTGGATCACGTG